TAAGTTGAATAAATATGATGATGTGACCCAAGGAGACCTTTCTGAGGGGCCCCATGGAAGATCTCTGAGCCCTAAATGACTCGCTTGATTGGCTTGCCAGTTCATACCTACTATGTCTCCTAACAGTACCCTTAGTCTTTCCTTCCAAAAAGAGAGCCTTGCAACTTCCTTGGAAGAAAAGCAGAAAGTGTGACTAGGGAAAGGTTAGATGAACTATGTCCTTAAGAATGAAAATAGTCTACTTGGACCCTCTAGAAATAGTGTAAGAAGGTATCCTGGCTATGAGATGTATGCAAACATTATGGGAACTTGAACTTTCTATTGATATTGATGCACTCTGTAGAGTGATTAACAATAAAACTTTAAAATTTATGAACTAATTTTTTCAGGCAAGCCAGAAAAATTGGGAAACTGAGGAGATGTTTTCTCTTCCTTGGCCTTGGGGGACAAAAACCCAAAGAAATGTTATCTTAGCAACTCTACAAAGAATAGAAAAAGTGTGCATCTCTGGAAGAGACATGGTTCAGAAGAGCCCAGGAAGCTGTCCAGGGTTGAAGGAGTGACCCTGCAGACTTATCTAACAAGGACCCTCCAGTTTTTCCAAAACAAGTATCTGAAAGGAGAATATTTAACTGAACTTAACTAAATATTTCTGAACTTCTTAGTTAGAAAAAAAATTGGAATGTGATTATGAAAAGGTCCTTTCTTATGAGATGTTTTTATTTGTTTTTTTGGCAATGTTGCTTCTGTCATGGCCAAAAGCCAGAAGAAGAAGAAAAAAACATACTTCAAATTATTTGAATACTCTAGGTTCTCATAAAAACTCAGTGTCAGTTTGATTCTACAAGCTATAAAGAGCTGGCTCGTGCAATGCTCTGGGCTTTAAGTCATATTGGGTCAGAGTCTTAGCCTGCATGTGTCCGTGAAAATGCTCATAATGACAGCAAGGAAATCGTGGGCTGTTTCTGAAAAGCTTTAAGGAAAGGGCAAGCAGACATCTGCTCATGTTGCTTTAGGCATTCATCTACTTGGGATAGTTTGGACCCTTTCCACTATTCTAAAAATTAGAAACAAAAGGGTAAGGTAAGAAGATTCTTTCATAACATCATGGTGCATGTTGTTGTTGTTGTTGTTTTTAAAAAAAAACTGATATATAAGATATCACTACAATAAAAGGGATAGTAAAGAAAACCAATAATCTAAAGTACATTTCCACTGAAAAAAAATTTCATAAAATTTCTAAAACTCATTTAGTCAATACCATTTTCTAAAAATTAAAACACACACACACCTATAGCAGTTGTGTGTGCACACAAGTGTGTGTGTGTGTGTGTGTGTGTGTGTGTGTGTGTTTTAAAGGCAATGATATAACTCATGTTATCTGGCATCTCCTGTTCTTAATGAAAATAGAGAAATGAACTAGGCAAAATTTTCCATTGAACAATTACTCTTACTTCCAATGATCATGCTTTCTAGTTCCTTATACTCTACTGGGTCAGGCATTTAAAAACTTATACTTTCCATTCACTTTAGTCTCTCTCAACTCATCTGTATTCTGAACACAGGTCACTTCCAATGTCCATTTTCTCTATTACTGCTTCAGTGCAGAAACTGTCAGACTATGTCCTTACCCCTGCTGACCATGACCTCTGTCAGATCAAGCTCTCTAACCTCAGTAGAGCCCTCTTTGCTACTCAAAAATCCTTTTATTTGGCTTTGCTGGCTTCCATTCAACTTCCTCAGTGGCTCTACCAGGCCTTTATGCTCACGTTCCCAAATCCAGATCGCCTCCTTCACTTTCAGTAGATGACTCAGAACACTTCTCTGCAGAGACACTGGAGCCTGCTCTTCATGCACAGCCTCAACTGTTCTCTTTTTCAGAAATCTTTCTATACCTTCATCCTTTCTTTCTCCGTTTGTGCCTGTTTCCTAAGAATAAAGTATATGTCCTTTTCCTTTATCAAGATTCCTCTTCTTCTTTCATCCACTATCTCCTTTGGCATCTAATATACCCTGACCTCCACATATTGCCTGTCTCTCCCTCTAGATCAGCAGTTCTCAACCTGTGGGTCGCGACCCTTTGGAGGTCAAACGACCCTTTCACAGGGGTCGCCTAAGACCATCAGAAAACACATATATAATTACGTATTGTTTTTGTGATTAATCACTATGCTTTAATTATGTTCAATTTGTAACAATGAAAATACATCCTGCATATCAGATATTTACATTACGATTCATAACAATAGCAAAATTACAGTTATGAAGTAGCAACGAAAATAATTTTATGGTTGGGGGTCACCACAACATGAGGAACTGTATTACAGGATCGTGGCATTAGGAAGGTTGAGAACCACTGCTCTAGATCAACTCACCTTTCAAGAGTTCGTCATTGCAAACAAACAACCCACCCACCCTTTTGTGACTCTGCAAATGATGAGATGTCTCTATTAACATTTTATAAGAATAACTTATACCCACAGACTCCATTTCCTCATGAAAATATTTCTCTAATCCCCTGCAATCTTGATTTCCTAATACACGATAGAAATTACTCCCCCGTTGGCCTTTTTGCATATTTCAACTTCTTGGCAACACTGATCCTACTGAACACCTTCAGGAATTATCTCTTATTTCTTCTTTTACTTCTCTCATGGTGATTTTGATAGCTTACCTGGCACTATGTTCTCTTTCTACCTGAATACAGATATTCACCAAAGATCTGAGATTCTCTTCTCTCATCATTCTGTATACTCTACCAAACAATCTGCTACCAAATTTTCAAATTCTGTATTTCTTACCTTGTGTTTCTATGGTTTGAGTCACAATCTCTTTCCTTACATCAAACCCCCACTGCCTCGTTGAACATACCATGTACAAGTCTAGCCTTTATGTCCAACTCAATGGTGCCCCTAAATCAAATTTATTAGTGTCTTTTCCCAAATCTCCTCCCAACTTTCTTACTTTTAATAATGACATTTCCCATTATTCCAAAAGCCTGTTTGCATTTGGCAAATATCTATTGTATGGTTATAATATGTAAGTCATAAGTTCTAGGCATTGGGGATACAGGAGTGCACAGGATGAATGAGGCTCCTGTCCTTGTGAAATTTACTTTCTATACTGGGAAAACAGAAAACAAACAGGTAATTAAATAAAATAAATTTGGTAGAGGCAAATGCTATAAAAAAAAGTAAAATGTGCCCTAACCAGTTTGGCTCAGTGGACAGAGCGTCAGTCTTGGACTGAAGGGTCCCAGATTCAATTCCGGTTAAGGGTACATGCTGGGGTTGCGGGCTTGATCCCCAGTAGGGTGGTGTGCAGGAGGCAGACAATCAATGATTCTCTCTCATCATTGATGTTTCTATCTTTCTCTCCCTCTCTGAAATCAATCTATATATATAAAAGCCTAAGTTACCATCCGATCGGTAGCTATGGCACACAATGACCACCAGGGGGCAGATGTTATGACCGATAGCTATGATGCGCACTGACCACCAGGGAGCAGACACTCAATGCAGGAGCTGCCGAGTTGTGGTGACTTGGCAGCTGCGGTTCTTAGGTGACACACCTGGAACCAGAGAGGAGGGAGCCCAATTCTGGGGTGTGTCACCCGAGAACCGCCCTCTTGCCATCCGAGACCTCTCGGGGGGGATGTTGGAGAGTTGGTTTCAGCCCAATCCCCACAGGCCTGGCTGAGGGACCCCATCAGTGCACAAATGCATGCACCGGGCCTCTAGTAAAAATATATTTAAAAAAGTAAAATGTGATTGATAGACTATTATGAGGGATGAATTTGGGCAGTGGAACAACCAAATTAGATAAAATGGTCCAGGAAACCTCTTTGAGGAAGTGGCGTTTGAGATGAGACTAGAATAAGGAGAATGACCGTCATGCAAATGCTGAAGAAAAAGCTTCTCTAACAGTGGGATCAGCAAGTGCAAGAGCTCTAAATATGCACATGTCTGTTTTCTTTATTCCCACTTTAATGCATCACTCTGATTTTAATTGCATACGTCTTATAGAATGACCTCAATTTTTACCTCTTTTGTATATATATCTTCCTGGTTAAACTTTCATTATTTCTCGCTCTCCAACTATTTCACCTTCCAGTGCATCCCTTGTATCACTACACAATTAAACTTCCTAAAGTAAAACTATAATATTATACTCTTGCTCCAAAACCTCTAGTGATGATGTCCCCCCCTTCGCCCGCCCCCATTATTCCTTGAATTATTATAAACTTGAAGGGGTAACATTAAAACCTGTTCATGATGTAACCTCAAAATATCTTTCAGTTCTTCTCTTCCATACTGCTAAACACAATCTACCATCTTAGATATTCCTGCTTCCAAAATTCCCCATTATGTCTCCTCCACACAATTTGGGCAAGTCACAGCCCTCCCAGCCCTCTTAGCCCTACCTCAAATAACCTTTTCCTTGAAGACCCTTCATATTTCTCTCTGTTTTTAACCCACAAAGAACTTCTTCCCAGCATTTGTCATATTTTGATTTGTCTTCCTTCATTACATCTCTTACTATATCAACAGATGTCTTAAGATAGTGACCATGTTATTTATCCTTGTACTAGTGTAGTGCCTCACATTGATGGCATTGAATAGTATTTGTTGAATGAAGGAATGAAATGAATTTATTAAACCTGAGTTGATTAATACTTATTTCATGACACCCCAAGTGGTTTCCCTTTTGTCATTCCTTTTATTTGTTATCTTGAAACCTAGATATAAAAAGTCAGAAAGCAGAGACCTCTGGTTATGAAATAGCCTAGTAAGTTTCAATATGGCCACACTTGTAAAAGTTTATATTGAGGAACATTAAAAATACTTATTTTTCAATGTTGCATAATACATGTGGTGTGAGACAAATCACTTTCAGCGAAGTGCTAATTGGTTGATCTCTGCTCAGGATACATAAAATTGCTTAGCAGTATTCAGTGCTTAAAAAATACATGATCACAATCATATCATCTCAATACATACCACGTTACTGCAAGTCCTATATCGAATATTTCTTCCCTCACAGCTCCTAGGAGACAAAAAGAAAAAAAAAGACCTTATTACTACCTATAAAAGGCTCAATATTTGAACTACACTATATAATAAAAGGGTAATATGCAAATTGACCCTAACAGTGGAATGACTAGGAACAACTGGGAATGACCGGTTGCTATGATGCGCACTGACCACCAGGAGCCAGACGCTCAATGCAGGAGCTGCCCCCTGGTGGTCACTGTGCTCCCACAGGGGGAGCTCCGCTCAGCCACAAGCCGGGCTGACAGCTGCGAGCACAGCGGTGGTGGCGGGAGCCTCTCCCACTTCCTCGGCAGTGCTAAGGATGTCCGACTGGTGCCATTACATACTCCCATCAGCAATACATGGGAACAGTCCCCAGGGGGAGTGGGCCTAAGCCGCCAGTCGGACATTCCTCGAGGGTTGCTGGGCTGCCAGAGGGATGTCTGACTGCCAACTTAGTCCCGATCCCCCTGGGGAGCGGGCCTAAGCCAGCAGGTGGACATCCCCCGAGGGGTCACGGACTGCAAGAGGGTGCAGGCTGGGCTGAGGGAAGCCCTACCCCGAGTGCACGAATTTTTGTGCACTGGGCTTCTAGTTTTCTTATAAAAAGAATTCTCTCTTAATATTCATATAAAAGCCTCTCTTTTCTTCTGAGTACATTCTTAGAAGAGTTACACTCAAATACTAAATTGAGCAGATCTAACGAAGTTGTACATGTAAGAATTAAAACTAAGCATTTGGTTGTTAAAATAAGTACTTATACTTAGTTCTTATTTAACCAAATAAATATAAATTCAAGGTTTTCTGAAAAGTATTAATATTAAATGAATCCCATCCTAATTATTTCTGGTATGAAACTAGAGATATTTCACAGAAAAAAACTTAAAATTGTGAATATGATAAAATTTGCACTTACTGTTTAACATGTTTTATAAATTATGAAATGGACATAAAAAGTCATAATTGTTAACGAATTATTTTTAAAAAAATACATGTTCATTGCAGAGATTTGTGGAAAGATTACCTAAAAGTAAAAAAAAATCTCTCATAGTTGCCTCATCTAAAGAGAATCACTATTATTTTGATTTATTAATTTCTTTCCACTGAGGAAAAAAATCACACCACTTATATAATTTTGCAGCTCGTTTTTCCACTTATAAATTTTTGAAGGTATTTTCCCAGAAACTGACAACATTTTGAGAGCTACATAATATTCCATCAAATGATATAATTTGTATAATCATTCTTCGATTACTTAAGTAATGTCCAATTTGGGGTTTGATAAATGAGAGTGTAATGAGCCATATCCATGCATATGCTTTACCTAAATTTCTGACTATGTCTTTAGGGTAGATAAATTTCTAGAAGAATTACTGGACTAAAGGGAATGAACTTTTATAAGCTCTTGATAAATTACATTCCATAAACTTTGTGCCATTACATACTCCCATCAGCAATACATGGGAGTTTTCATATTACTGAACTCTTGTGAACAAAAACAATCAATTTTTGATTAAGCATTCAGTGATGACACAGAGCAGCAGTTCTCTGCTCTTTTCAAAATAAGTCACAACGACTTAAATTTTAGACTTGAAACCGTAAAAATCCTAGAAGAAAGCATAGGCAATAAAATCCTGGACATTTCTCATAGCAAGATTTTTTTCTGATATATCTCATCGAGCAAGGGAAACAAAAGAAAAAATAAACAAATGGGACTACATCAAACTAAAAAGTTTTTGCATAGCAAAGGAAACCATCAATAAAATGAAAAGACAACCCACTGACTTGGAGAACACAGTCACCAATGATACATCTGACAAGTGGTTAATATTCAAAATTTATAAAGAACTCATACAACACAACACCAAAAAAACAAACAATCCAATTTAAAAATGGGCAAAGGAGCTGAATAGACACATCTCCAATGACGACGTATAGATGGCCAATAGACATAGGAAAAAATGCTCAAAGTCACTAATCATTAGACTGATAAAAATTAAAACTACAATGAGATATCATCTCACACCTGTCAGAATGGCTATCATCAATAAATCAACAAACAAGTGGTGGCCAGAGTGTGAGGAAAAGGGAACCGTCATGCACTGCTGGTGGGAATGTAGATTGGTGAAAAAGGAGAAGGGATTTAGAAAAAAATTCATAGACACAGACAACAGTATGGTGATTACCAGAGGGAAAGGGGGGTGGGGGAGATAGAAGAGGGTAATGGAGGGATAAATGGTGATAGAAGGAGACTTGACCTGGGGTGGTGAATACACAATACAATATACAAATGATGTATTATAGAAATGTACTTCTGAAACCTATATAAACCCAATAAGTTCATTAAAATGTCACACTTAAAAAAACACAAAAATCTATATATATAAAAGCCCAGTGACTGAACAGCTGCTAGCAGGCCCAGGGTGAGGCTGAGTCTCTGCACCTATTAAATACCTGAGACAATCCAGACTCTGGCCTGACCCCACCCGCTGATGCAGGCCCTCTAAGGTGTGTTCTAGAAAGATCGTGGGAAGCTGGCATAGGCTGATAGCAAGAGGGGATGTGACTGTGGATCTCCTGGGGAGGCTGCCCTGAACATCCCAATGGCGACTCTGACCTGGCATCACACCTCAAGGACATTCACCAAGTGACTTTGGGGTGCAAAGCTCTCCACCAGGTTCCTTCAGGACACAGAACACACCTTTACCCAAGACATTACCCCAAAATATCAGCTCAGACTAATTTCCTCATTCAGCAGCCGCTCAGAGGGCGGGTCCACAGCCACTCAGCTGACCAGGATGAGCTGTGCTCCCGAAGCAGGCCATCCCCGCAGGCCACGCCCCCCACCAGTGCATGAATTGGACGGAGGACTGGGTCTCTAGAATAATATAAAATTCTGAGAGAATGATTATACTAATAACTAATAGTTATGGAGTTTGCAGTATATTTCTAAGTTTGTTATATTGTATTAATTTATTTAATCGTCTCAGGTACCCTGGGAGTCAGGGTACTATCATTTTACCCATTTTACAAATGAGAAAACTGAAACTTAGGGAGGTTAACTAACTTGCCAAAATTGCACAACTACTAAGTAATAGAGCTGAGATTTGATACCAGGCCATCTGGCTTCAGAACTTACACCTATAACCATGATGCTTTACTGCCTCCTAATTCACTTGTTTGTCCGACAAAGGTCCACTGCGCTCTTGTTATGTGCTGGGCAATGTACTTACTTCTGGGAACGAATATGACATGGTTTTTGCTATTAAGAAAATCATTCAATTATAATTTAGTGACAGGAATGCTAAATAGCATGTGCTAGGTCTGAGAATGTTGTCAAAAAGTAAATGTCATCTGAAAATACAATTATACAAAGACTCTCTTAAAGAGATAGAAAGGTCCTAGGCTTAAACACTTGACCATAATCAGATTGACTATATTAATGTGAATTAACAAGAAAATGTGGCCAAGAAGAGAAAGAACTGGCCAGGCATTAGAATCATAGAAAAGAGGAGAATGCCAGATACATGGTTGTCGGTGCCCAGCCTAACAATGTCCCAGGGAAAGGACCCATAAACTTGAAATCCTGCATGTCCCATTGGCAAGGCTGCTGCCATCATGATGTGGATGCCTCACACTAACCAAGCGGCTGCCAATGAATGTTCTGTTCCTCCCAGGAATTACCCTGATTCTGATGCCATGTTGACCAAACAACTTGCCAAGAGTGATCTGGCTTTTCATGACTGCGCTGTGTGCTGGTCATGCTGACATGAGTATTCCGGTCCATGCGATAGACAGTTCTATTTTTAGTTGTAAGTTAATAAACTGGCATTTTACTTTGAGACATTAATCTCATGGGTCAAGTCATTGAGTCCGCCTCCCAGACAAGGGTCTGTTCTTGGTGTGATTACTGGAAAATATCAGGTTTCTGGGTCTAAAAAGATGCGAGCTAAACTCCAGTTGATGGTACACTTACAAGGTAATGAACTCTACAACCCAGAGGCCTTTGATAGAGTTCCACTGAGGCTTCAGAATTGGCAGAATGTGATATGTTTTTCGATTTTGAAATTCCAAGTGCATATGTGACACAGTGTAGTGGATAAGAGTACCCAGTTTGAAACCAGAATCCTCTTTCTGGAATCCTGGCTCTATTCCTCAGTTTTTATATGTCAGTTTGTCATCTGTAAACTGGGATACTATTACTTATCCTCTGGGATTATTATGGGGATTATCAGTTAATATTATGAAGCACTTCCAACAATGCCTAGCACATAGTAAACATGGTGTAGACATTTGATAAATCAATTAAATGCATAATAGAAGTAACAATATAATAGATTGAAAGGGGGTTAAGAATGTGTGGAGAAGAAACTGTAGGCAGAGGCACAGAGATACAAAAAGATATGGTATAGGTGCACATTTTCAAGCAGTTTTGTTTTGTTGGAGTTTTGGGTTGATTTGAAGAATTGAAGGAGATGAGATAAATACCTTCTAACTTTGAACTTGGCAACAGGCAAAGGGAACTCACTGAAGGTTTTAAAACAGAGAAGATACAATGTGGACTTCTTGCTTTTAAAAGTGAAATATGGTGTTAATCATTAAGACCTTAAAAACCACTGTTTTTCATCTCCTTTTATTTTCTTTTCCTAATTTTATCTCCCTAAACGGAAGAATGGAAACAAATCTGAATTGGGGATTTGGAGTTCTGGATGTTGGACTTTGCTCATCTCCTTGCGTACTCCTCTTATCTTCTCAGGGGGCTCTTAGCTTTTCCATCTGTCAAATGAATATTGGAATGGCAGTGCATACAGTTATGATCACCAACTGAGATAACTTACAAAAGCTTTGTCCACGTGCCAAGGGGTTATTATAGAGATATTGTTTGCTAAAAACAAAATAAAACAAAAACGTCAAGAAGCAGAAAACTACTTGCATCAAAAATTTAAATGAGCCTTTGCCAAGTATTTCAAATTATAAATTCTTACACATGTTTTAAAAGCACCTTCAGATAAT